ATTATTATTATAAAACAATAAATCGAACTTCTCAATTTAAACAATAGCAAAAATAAATTATGGTTGAAGAAAAAACCTTAATCATATGGGAAATGATGAGTGAAATGAAAATTCAAATAAGCAAAGAAAAATCAATTTAATCATTTCCTTTTAAAAATTGCTAAATTTTCATCTTTATCTAAATGTATTGGTATCGAATAAGCGCAAGCCTAAGGCATGTAATTCAATAAATAAAAAAAGATATATGCCTATTAAATTTGCCCATCAAATTTCAGGCATTAAAAATATTTTTTAAATTATGATATATAAAACGAAAAAATTCGAACGATTACGGGATACAATTTGATAGTAATTACAAATATATATCATGCGATTTATTTTGTTTCTTTTTTCCTCAATAAATTTATAACTAATTTAGATAAATAATTGTTCTTTCTTATTCTCTCTTCTCTTTAATCTTCTTTCCACCCCAATCATTACATTCAAATATTTCGAAATATGTACGATCACTAACATCATTGATATCATCATTGATAGTAATTAGAATTTTTTCCCGAGAGATTACAATAATGAAAGCAAGAATATGAATTGTGAAATAATATTATTAGATCGAATTGATAGAAATAGATGATTTTCATTGAATATTTCTGGGAAATTTTCCACACACACACACACACACACACACACACACACACACACACACACACACACACACACACACACACACACACATAACACATAAATAGATATATCTCAGCATAGCAGTATAAAAGACTGTGACTGTTGCGCTGCGCAATTCGTGAAAAATTGTAATGCTGAGCAAATTTATGAAACATGTTGATATTATTTAGCAATCAATTAATGATGAATATAAATAATCAAAAAGATTTGCTAATTGTTTTTGATGATAAATAATTTGCTTACTTCTATATATTTTTTTAAAACTGTTGTCATTTGTTCATTGCTGATAATTATCGCAGAAAAATAAATTCGAATTATTCGAATATAAATAAATAAATAATTAATAACAATAATCGATGAAACAAAGAAAGAATCATTCTTAACTTGGATGAAAAAATATATTGATGTAAATTCAAAAATTAATATAGAATAAATTTCTTGAAATTATCTGATAAACAAATCGGATCAATTGATATATGAATTAATGAAGAAGGAATAGAATGAGCAAAAGATATAATATAATCAATGATTGATTAAGGAATGAAAGAAATTCATTTAATCGTTTTGTCTTTATTTGATCATCGATATGCTAATAAAATGCATAAATAACAAAGAGAATTATATTTGCTGTTTAATTTTATATTTTATGATATAATGAATTCATATTAATGTAGACTATCGCATAAAGCAAAAGATATTATTTATATCTTTTAATTTATCTTTTTAATCTCTTCTTATATCTACTTCTTATCAAACATTTGTTATTACTAATGGAATGATAGTGATAATGATGATGATAAGATAAAATGATTATAAATAATTTGTTTAAGCATTATATAACTACCCTATCCTTTTTATAACAATATTAATCAATTCAGGTATGCTAAGTAGTAGCAAAAAAAAAGGATGGAATTAATTGATTGAAATGCATTGTTTAAAGAAGGAGAGAGAAAGAAAGTTAGCCATAAGATGAAATAACACATGTATGATTATTGGATATAAAAAAATATATTTTATTGATGACAGATAATATGATGGCATTAATCATTTCATAAAGTGGTGATAACATTCTTCTCAATAATCACTATGATAATTTTCATTTATATATATATATATATATACATATAGTAAGAGGGGGAAAAAATAGAGCAAAATTAATCGTCTAATATTTATTTTAACATAAATGAAAGAAAGGAAAAGCTAAAATAGAAGAAGAGACATTTGTTCTTTATTTTACATTTTGACAATACAGCTGAATTTATATGAAAAATTATTGGATGAAAATTAATGAAGGATAAACTAAAATTTAAAGGAGCAATGACATGTGATAAATGATGACAAGTAAAAGGTAGTGAACAGTAGTGAATGAAAATCGATAAAGATATTTCTCAATTCAAAGAGAAAACTGGTACGACAAGGATGAAATTACCAGAAATAACAAACACGATGTGTCGCTTGTGAACATGATCCATCGCTGAGAATTAACCATGGAATTTACGAACAAAATTTATACATGTACAGATAACACATTCCATGGGAAAACTAATAATTATGTAATCCGAAATAAGCCTGAGCCTAGCACGATGATATGATAGTCATTTTTGGCAATATTAAAAGCATCGCTGAGTTGTTTCTGAATTGATTCAACCGGTAAACAATCATTTAGAGAGATACGGCTAAATTTCAGTCAATTTATCTATTTAACTGAATTCTTCGAGTAGAATATATTTCAATTCCAGTTTTGGCACTGTTTAAAACAAATACGACTGATTATTGTTGCAGTTTGAAAATGATCAATAAGTTATGAAAAAGATGTACAATATTTTCGAATGAATAATGGAAATCTTCTAACTTACCAATTTACTGACTGACTAGCTTAAAACAATGAATGGTTGAATGATTGATTGGGATGAGTAAGCAATTCCATGAAATTTAATAGTAAACAACGAAGCATTAAATATCTTTCATCTAGAAAAGATATAATACAAAACATTCTATTGATGGGTGAATTGATCATCCTAATCGTTGGAGATTTTCCTTAAAGGAAATATTTCAAATCTGAAGATTTAATTAACATAGCCTGGCTATTTGAATTGGATTTAAAAGAGATAAGGGATGACCATGATAAAAGAGACAATGACCATGATGAAATATAATTTCAAATAATAAAACTAATAAATGTTCAAGCATAATTTACCAATATTTCTTTTCTTCTTTGAATAACAGAATCGCAGAACCCAACGAATTAACGATGAAATTTATCAATAAATTATGTTGATATGTTAAACTTTTATATCAGAGAATTTTTATATTTTTATATCTTTTTCATCTGATAGAAATCATGGCAATGATCGATTTTAATTATAATGTATGATTTAATTAATTATCGCATAATTTGCTTAAATTATTCGAATTTTAATCATTAATTTATAACCAAAAAATGAAACTTCACAATTATTGCATGACATTCAAAAACAAATAAAAAAGGAAAAGAAAATTAGTTTATAAATAAATACCAAAATAGAGTTAAGAAGTAATATATCTTTGGAATCTTTCGGTGAGATTAAAAAAATAGTCCTGTAATTTGCTTGGTTAAATATATGAAGAGATAAAGCTTAATTAGAGGATCAATCCAGTACTGATATCATATGTCACTTTTTCATTTGATAGAAATTATCAGATTAAAGTATCACTTTTTAAGTTATATTCTTTTTTGAATTAAACATTACAATTCTAAGATAGTGCAAATGTAAACGGGATAATTTGAAGTTTCTTAATATCCTTTAAGATGATATCACTATCACTTAACATGAATAATTTTCGAACAATCTACATGAAATGATAGAATTAATCATAAATCATAACGAGAATTTTGATAAAAAATTAACTCAAGAATTTAAATAATATTCGCTAACTGAAGAATACAGTAAAAAAATGCACATCTTGACAATGAAAGCAAAAAATGTATTGAATCAAAAGTGACGTAGTTCACGTCTTATTTTGACGTAGTTCACGTGTTCACCTTCAATGAATTAAATAAAAATTAAATCAACCAAATAAAAGAAAAATACACGCTGCTCACGTTTATTATCTGTACGGATAAATTGAAAATTAAAAATTCTATTTCGGTAAAGCTTATATGTAAATAGACTAAATCGAAAGTAAATGAATTAAACAAATCATTTTGACGCAGCTCACGTCTCTAATCTTTTCTAAATGAATCCCGTAGAATACGTCTTCAATCCATTCTAAATGCGCTAGAGATGAAAATAAGAATTCCATTTTGACGAAGCACACGTTTTTAATCCATTCTAAACGGTTTGAAGATGATAGTACGAATTGCGCTCTGCCATACTCACCATCCTGTCACGAGACCGGTATCATCCGCAAAATATCCTTAAATTTCACAAGGTTCTTCTCATTTCACAATTTGCGACAAGAATGCAACATGTTGGTTTCAACATTTTAAGAGGTAGTAGGATAATAAGACGATTAAATATTGAAAGGATTTTGAGGGTTTAATCATGAGAGAATATATTATTCAACGAGTATGTAGGGGGAGATTGAAAGGAAAAAAGACGCGTTTCTGGAGAGAGTAAAGTTGAGGGTAAAGGTTAATAAGAATATCATAGACTGAAAGAAATAATTGCACAGGTATTGAATGTATGCGGAATTTTTTCCATCCGATTGATCTCATTTATGATTTGGTTCTTTTCCTTGGATTTTTAATTCTTATCCAAATTGTTAATTTATTTCATGTTTTTATAATAAAGTTTAAAATAAACTATCCAAATTTCGTCAGCAATTTTATTTTTCTTTCACTTTTCAAAGCAAAATTTTTTATTCGTCTTCGTTAAAATTTCATTCAAAGACATGACGTTAGCAAAAAGTTACAATAGCATTACGATGATTTAATTAATCCGTTTTGAAATTTTAGTGAAGATATTTTAATCTATAAAGGCAACGGTTGATGTCGGATGGGAAGATGGATTTCTTTGAAAAATTTTAGGATTAAATGATCTTCATTACTAGAAGTGTTCATAATTTAGTAGTCCTCGACGTAATTTCAGTCTTACTCCAGCATTCTCACGCGTTCTCAAACGTTCTTAAATGTATTAATTTTCCATCTTCTACAAGATGGAAAATTAATACATTTGAGATTTATCAGATTTCAGATTATCAGAATTTTGTGAGTTTTCATGAGAAAAATTATCAGATATATCGTAATCGCAAACTAAAGTATATTATATATTGTGGCGTGTATTTACTTGGTATTTTGTTAGTTTCAGCCGAAAAAAGCTTTGGTAGAGATTGCGAAAATGGCTGTTAAAGAAAGAAGAAAAGTGGCGGAACTTCTGGAAATGGAAGCAAAAATTCAGAAGTTATGGTCAGATGCAAAAGTGTTCGAAGTGGATGCTTCCAATGACATGTAATTATATATCTGAACCAGTTTTCACTTTTTTTGTTTAATTTTCGGTTTTATTTTTTATAATGGTTCTGTAACGTCTTTACTACAAGAAGAAATTTCAGGTCTGAGCCTAAATATATGGCGAACATACCATATCCTTACATGAATGGTCGTCTTCATTTAGGGCATTCTTTCACGTTATCTAAATCCGAGGTTCTTTTTACTCAAACATTGCCATATTTAATTAATAATTCGACTTAAATTGCAACTTTTTGTTGCAATTGCGATTAGATTCCGAAGAAATATCGAATTTTCAAATTATCATATTTTAAATTTCAAACTAGGCTTTCATCAAAAATGCTCGTTTTTGCAAGACTTGTCATGTTTTTATTAGAATTATTTTAGTTCGCGATAGGATTCCAACGATTAATGGGAAAACGGTGTCTGTTTCCTTTTGGTTTGCACTGCACTGGAATGCCAATCAAAGCCTGCGCTGATAAACTAAAAAGAGAAATGGAAGAATTCGGATATCCGCCACATTTTCCAGATGATGGTAATGATAGTAAGATGCTAATCGAGGAGAACAATGACATAGATGAAATTGTCAAAGATAAAAGTAAAGGGAAAAAGGTTGTTTATTAGTGATCCGAATTTTCGAAATCTTTTCTTTTGTCATTGTCAACTATGTCGTACGTTATCTGTATTTTCAGAGTAAAGCTGTAGCAAAAACTGGAACAGCAAAATATCAATGGCAAATTATGAAGATGCTTGGCTTAGACGATTCGGAAATCATCAAATTTACAGATGCGAGCCACTGGCTTAATTATTTTCCACAACATTGCATTAGCGATATTCAAAAAATGGGTCTCAAGGTTCTCAGTTTTGAAGTCATAAATAATTTGAACATTTATTGTTCCCACTTTATCAGATGGGATACTTAATTATTTTGAGGGCAGTTTGTTTAGATTGATTGGCGACGTACATTTATTACTACTGATCGTAATCCTTACTATGATTCTTTTGTTTGCTGGCAATTTCGGAAACTTCGTGAAGCTAAAAAAATTGATTTTGGTAAACGTTATGCAATATATTCGCCAAGTGATGGGCAACCATGCATGGATCATGATCGATCTGAGGGAGAGGGCGTTGGACCTCAACAGTATACACTCATCAAACTAAAGGTATCAGGATTAACTAAGTTTCAAGAATAGTTCTTTTTTAATGATATTTGTTATTTTTCCAGATATTATTTCAGATTCTTGATCCATTACCAGAGATACTTGCGAAAAGTGGGAAAAATGTTTTTCTAGTTGCTGCAACACTGAGACCTGAAACAATGTATGGACAAACGAACTGTTATATTCATCCGGATATTGAGTATGTACCTTACTTTTCATCAGATTGTTTAAATTTAAATAGATGAGAAGTTTTGATCGATATCAAATAATAATTTGTTAACTTCTTTCTATTTTGAATATTCCCAATGCATCCGCACTTAGAACATTTGAAAATTGGGAATCTGAATTTTGGGAGTTTAAGTTAGCGTTTTCAACCTGATCATTATGTATATTTATTCAAGGTATTGCGCTTTCTATGCTGGTCAAAAAGAAAATGAAGTTTTTATAGCGACAAAAAGAGCTGCAAGAAATATGAGTTATCAGGAAATGACTGCTGAAAATGGAAAAATACGATTTGTTAATGGTGCTGAAAAGGTTTGCTTTTTCTTTTATTAATTTTACTCTTTGTTTGCATTGCTCACTGTTATAACGTCCGCAAAGATATTTAAAATCTCTGCAGATTATTTTACTAATTTTTAGATATTAGGCAAAGAGTTACTTGGTTTGGCACTAAAAAGTCCTCTGACGAAATATGATCGTATTTACTCATTACCTATGCTGACTATTAAAGATAACAAAGGTTAGTTTATTTTTTAATGATTCAAGAAATAATATATTTTATAATCTTATCACGTCTTACCAGTAATTTATTACAGAACTGTTGTTACTACTATATAAAAATTTTCTCTTTCTGCGTATTTACTGTTCACACGGTTGAGTTTTATTTTGAGCACTTGGATTTTTTGCATCTTAAGAAGAATCTGTTCATTACCTGCTTACAGGCACCGGCATTGTGACCAGCGTACCATCTGATTCACCAGATGATTTTGCAGCTCTAATGGATTTAAAAAAGAAGAAGCCATTACGAGAAAAATTTAATTTAAAAGATGAAATGGTATTGCCGTATGAGCCGGTAAATTATGTGTTACTTATAATTTTTCTGATAGTTGATTTCTCCCAAGATAGTTGATTTTTCACAAAGCAAAAGTGTTTTCCGTCATAGTAAAACAAGTGAATTCATTATCACTTGAATTTGAATTGTAGACTTCCTTAATTAGCATATAGCCAATGCTATGTCTGTAAAATTTCATTCTGGACGTAATTTTTGCAGATTCCAGTTTTGAAGATACCGGAATATGGAGAAATGGCTGCTGTGTATCTTTATGAAAAAATGAAGATTGAAAGTCAGAATGATCGAGACAAATTAGCAGAAGCCAAGAAAGAAGTTTATCTGAAAGGATTCTATGATGGCGTCAGTGTTTGACATGTTAATGTTGTATCTTTTTTTGTAACACAACGAATCATGCATAGAAAATTGGTTGTCTTTTGATATTAAATTTGAGGAAGGAATTTTTAGATAATGGTAGTTGGTAAATATGCTGGGCAGAAAATTACAGAAGTAAAGAAGAAAATTCAAGAAGAATTGATTGCATCTGGGGAGGCAGCATTATTTGTTGAACCGGAAAAGAAAGTTATATCACGTTCCGGTGATGAATGTGTCGTAGCTTTATGTGATCAATGGTAAGTCTATGTAATCAGTGATTAGTTCAGAAAAATACTACATAAAATGTTGATTATTTGATAAAGAATAATTGGGTTTTGAAGCATTAGAAAATTATGTACTCGTAGCAGTATGATGAGTGTCTTTGGCAGGATAGTTCGCAAAAAAAAAGAAACAAAAACCTATAGCGAATTATGGGCTAGATAGTGATCCGTGATCATAAGTGATTTGCTTGAAGAGTAGTATATTAGCGGAGGGTTAAACCTTTGCAAGCGAGATAATTTATTTATTTATCTTTTTTGCAGGTATTTAAATTATGGTGACGAAGAATGGAAGAAGGAAACAAAAAAGGCTTTAACTCAACTGAATACATATGTAGAAGATGTAAATTTTTAAGGAAAAATTCCGAAATATTTAACCGTAGGCTGTCATAAATGAATGTTAATTGATTTATTTGTTGCTAGGTACGGAGAAATCTGGATGCGACGATTGACTGGTTACATGAGCATGCTTGTTGTCGATCATACGGTTTGGGTTCAAGGTTGCCATGGGATCCGCAGTATCTCATTGAATCGCTTTCTGATTCAACAATATACAGCGCATATTACACGGTGGCACATCTTTTACAAGGTGGTGCTATTGATGGAAGTATCGTCGGTCCTGCTGGAATCAAGTACTTTTTATGAGTTTACATAATTGCAATTAAATTCAACAGAATTCTTAACCTATATAGAAATGCAATAATTTTTCTTTTGCAGAGCATCCGATATGGTTGATGACTGCTGGGATTATATATTCTTAAATAAGCCTTATAATGATAAAACAATGCGGGTCAGAGAATCGCAATTAGCTATGTGCAGAAAAGAGTTTCTTTATTGGTGAGTTTTTCCCTATTTTGTTTATTGCATATTTCAGCATAATGGGAATATCTTCTACGTTATTTGTTCAGTACGTTTCCATTCGGAAAGATCAGCCTGAGTGTGGCCTATAAGCATACAAGCAAATGGACATTTGTTACTTAATAATGAAAGGGCTCAAAAACAGTGTATTTTTGTTTAATGCATCTATGAATACACAAATTATGATCTGTTTGTAATTACTTCGAATTCCTCTGCATTTTAAGGTATCCGGTTGATATGCGTTCTTCCGGTAAAGATCTTCTACAGAATCACCTTGCTTATTATTTATTCAATCACGTAGCCATTTGGAAAGATCAGCCTGAGTTATGGCCTAGAAGCATACGAGCAAATGGACATTTGTTACTAAATAATGAAAAGGTTCGAACAGTCGCTGATCCAGTTTACATTTGTTTATATATGAGCATAAAACTACAAAAAATGTTTTGATCGCGTTGTTTTTTTTGCTTTTATTACTGCAAAAATTTCTCAGATAATAAAGCAATTCAGATGTCCAAACAAACAGGCAATTTCCTGTCTCTTAGTGAAACCGTGGAAATGTTTTCTGCCGATGGGATGCGTGTTTCTTTGGCGGTAAATTTTTTTATCAACTTTTTTAAAATGCAAACCTAAAAAATGGAAAAATTGAATTGATTATTTCATAATTTGATGCAATGTGATATCATTCCCGATTTTTTAATAATTATTTTTATCATTTTTACTGCGATCACTTGGAGTAAATCTAAAAGATGAACTCGTGTATATTTAAGTTATATATTGTCATCTGTTGAATCACTTCTGCTTTTTGATGTGGTCTTTGTTCAACTTCCAATTTCAGGATGCAGGGGATTACGTGGAAGATGCGAATTTTGTTTATGATATGGCTGATGCAGCAGTACTGCGTTTGTATAATCTCCTTGCGTGGTCACGTGAAATGGTTGCTCTACGGGAACAGGGTGGTTTGCGTGATGGACATGAATTCATTTTTGCTGATCAAATTTTTGACAATGAAATGAATAGCGCAATTCACAAAACACGCGATAGTTATGAACAAACTTTTTTCAAAGAAGCTTTAAAACATGGATTTTTTGAATATCAGGTAGCTTGAACGGAACTGTTTCCCCAATTTTAATGCAGATTGGCAAAATATCAAGTATAAATTATGAGTAATTTGAGTAATTTTGCTTACATTACTGAGTGCTTCATTTATCTGAAAGCAAGAATATACACTATGGTATGTCAAAATGTGAACTAAGCTTCAGCATTACAGCTGCGTCATGTTGTACCAAATGGTTAACTTAGCTATTAGAAATTTTATATTTCCTTTTTTACTGAATAATTTCGAAACTTTGTGGTACTTTCCAGAGTTATCGTGACAAATATCGCGAGTATTGTGGGAGCAATACGGAAATGCATATTGATATGGTTTTCAAGTGGATTGAAACACAAGCAGTCATTCTCTCACCAATTTGCCCTCATGTATCTGAACAGATATGGCAGATTTTGGGAAAGGTTCTTATGCCAATGGAATTGTTATATCTAACATTAGTAATACCTCTGCGATTCTTATTGTTATTGTTCAAAAGAGAACAAAATTGAATAGTCAAGCATGTTTAATTTCTAGGATGGCTTTATTATATATGCCAAATGGCCCGTTACTCCACCTGCTGATGATCTGATAACGAAAAAAGCCGAGTTCATGGATGAAACAGTCAAGGTTTGTTCTTGAAAATCGTGGATTGATTTTTATTGATTCTACTGATTGTTTTACTTTTGTTGAAAAATGATTTCTTTTTCTATAGATTACAGTATCATTTTGTGTTAAAATAAGTTTAAATTCCTTTGGAGGATTTCCGATTGCGTTTGAAAAACCACATGAATTTGAAACAAAAAAAAAGTAAGGATACAAATCGGCCGTCGGAAGCGGTAATATATTTTGCAGAAGAATATCCAACTTGGCAAAAGGAAGTGCTTGGCTTATTGAATCAGTATTATCAAGTATGAGTTATTTTTTTCTTATTTCTACAAGTTCATTACTTTTTTCCTCTATCGGAGAAGTTATTGTCATGTTTATCTTTAATTACAATTTCTAATGATTATCCAATATTATTGCAGGAAGGCAGTGGTGTGTTACCAGATAACAAAGAGATATCTCATCGCTTAAGTGCAGTGGAGAGTTTGAAAAAATTTATGAAAAAAGTGATGCCTTTTGTTCAATTGGTACGTGAAAACTTAGCAATACACGGTGAATCAGCTTTGGATATTGTCTATCGACTTGATCAGGAAGAAGTCCTGAAGCAGGTCTTGCTGGGTTTTTATTGTTCTTTCTACTAGTTACATTTGTCGTAAGATGTGTTCTTGCAAAATTTTATCTAAAATTTAAATTTATTGCGGTTGAAATGTTACTATCGTACTTATTTGCATAAACTACATTTTTAACTTATTCTAGAATTTGGATTACATATTAACAACTTTGGATCTAGAAAGAGTTACCATTACTAATGTAAAAGGAGCAGTGCCAGCAAATATTATAGAAATAACTTATCCTGGAAAACCGATAATAATGTATAAAGAACAAGAAGTAAGCTCATTCATTCATTCATTTGTTAATATTTTGCAGAATTCTTTATATGTTTTGCGATGTTTTCTTGACAAATTTTTCAAATAATTAGTATTTTTTGCAAAATAATTGGAATTCGGACTTTTTAATACTTCATGTTTAGACTAATGAGATTTTTCTATTTGTCATTTATAGCCTGGAATTACCATTATGTTTCGAAATGTGGATCCTTGTTCTTCTCTGTTTGATATTGAAATTCCAATTATAAATGATGACACCACGGCAGTCGTTATTCGTCGTTTGAAGAGACTTTCCAAAGATATTAAGCGTAAGTTTCAATTTCAATATTCTGATGAATGGATATTCTGATGAATTAATATTCTGATATGCATGAAATTTTAGTCATCAGAGTATTTTGATTCGGTGTGTTGGAACTAATTATAAGGTTTGAAGGAATCTGCTTATTTAAATTTGCGATAATGATGTATGTTTTAGAAGCCGTTTTGAAAATATGTTTCTTTTAGCTAAACAATCTATTTCTTTATGGCGATATTTGGATCCTTTGGGTGGTGATAGGAAGTTGATAGGATTAAAAAATCCTTTAGAAAACAATGAACGCATCCCTGATTCTGGTAAGTTTTGTTGGTTTTTTAAAGAAAATTGATGTTTTAAATAGAGGTATATTTAAGTTCGGGTTCGAAAAGGTGTCTGTGAATAGAATTCATTTGCAGCACAATTCAAAACAGATATGCAAACTGGAAAAATTTACCTGCAGAATAATGGCAATACATTTTATTTGGGAGGCACGATAGTATACAGAAGGTCCAGTTAACCTTGTGTATGTTGTTTTATTGTATCATTTCAAGGGTGATAAATTATCCTTCGTACTTTTGGTTTTCATTTCGAATAAACTATTTATTGTGATTCTTTTGTAGCAAAAAGTGACAGAGATTGCTATTCTATCAACTTTAGATGTTATTACTGTTATTTGTTGATTCTTTGAATTTTGTTTTGATCTTTCTATTCTTTCGTTTTGTTTTTTCTGACTTTTCAGTTATCAAGTTCTTGCATAAGCTTGTTCAGTTTTCTTTCTTACCGTCCAACTACGAAAGGCTACAAATTTTGTAAATTTAACTTAGCGCCTTCGAGCACTTATTCCCAACCATTTGTAATTGTTTTTTTGTTGCTCTTCTTTCCAATTTCAATTGATTTGTATAAGATTGATGCTAATAAAACTGTAGGAGCGAACTTATTGTTCTGTTTTGTTTAATCTTGTTTTCAAATAAATATGATTAATTTATGTCGTTCGTGATCCGTCTGCTGCAAGATTCAGAAAACAATGTTTCGAGAATTTTTTGTTTATAGGTAGTAATGAATGATACTACGGTCATTTTAACTTGTTGAATATGAGATAATAATGGAACACGGGAAGGACTAAGATTAATGTTAGGGCCTTTAACTTATAATTAACACCGATGCATTAAGTGATGTTGTCATCATCAATACAATTTAAACCTTTCTACTCTTCTAGGCAATAGTGATTGGTTTGGATGAAATTCGTGATTAGATTCGTATGGAACATAATGAGGAGTGTTTCGTCATAATGCCGTTTTTTCAACAGATAGTAGCTGCTTCGTCCGGTGCTATCGTAACCTCTCTGTTAAGTTAGTTTTTCATTTTTAATTAGTCATTTGTTACTAGAACTTAACTTTGAAATTTACGTAGAATTTTAATTTTCATATAGTTATGCTTTGGTCGTAATTTTTATTCGTGATACATTTCTTCATATCAATTGGTATGCAAGGTAAAAAATGCGAGGTAAACGCAAAACTGCAAGAAAATGTACTGGCATTATATGTGATGAATGGCCTTTATAAAATCGTAGAAAAAAATAGGAAATTCCGGCTCCGATCAATATTTTGATCCTGTCGCATTTTAATATAACTTTATCCATACATGTTAGTCGCATCATATGTTTTAATTCTGATCTTCTTTTCCTTTCCTCCTTCGCTTGCTCCTCCTTGTACACTTTATACTTGTAAGATATGAGGAAGGTTATATTTTATTTGTTTTTGTTTTCTTTTAAAAAGTTTAATTGAAATCTTTTTACAAATCTCTTTCCATTCTGTACAATCAAATTTTATTTATTTCAGTGACACCAATGGATGTTGTAAAAATACGGTTGCAGCAACAAGCTCACCCTTTCGTTAAAGGCACTTGCTTCCTATACTCCAATGGTTTGATGGATCATTTGTGTACAGCTTGTGCTAATGTAAATTCTAAAGAGCCCTGCGAATGGTTTGCAAGACCGGGGAATTTTACAGGGACAGTGGTAATATCTCTTTTATCAATAAAATTTGAAATTTTGATAAAAGCATTTGTTGGCTTTCACTATTGCCGATGCAACAACTCTATTAAGTCAATGAAATGTTAGAAACTTCCAAAAAAATATCAAATTTTCAGGATGCGCTGTTCAAAATTGCGAGAACGGAGGGAATCCAGTCACTATGGAGCGGGCTTTCACCGACATTGTAAGAAAATCAAAATTTTTCATTATTCATTAATATTTATTTCCACGGTCAGTAAGGGATTTAATTCCATCAGTGCCCATAAATCGATAGTAAATAATATTCAAATTGAGCATTCTTAGAATTATGGCGATACCGGCAACAGTACTTTATTATACAATTTACGATAATATGTTGTGCTGGTTGAGAAAGGAATATGATAGCAAATCTCACTGGATTCCCCTGTTTGCTGGATCAACTGCTCGTCTAGTTGCTCTGACCATCGTTTCTCCAATAGAATTAATAAGGACAAAAATGCAGAGTGAACGGTTTACATATAAAGGTACAGTGTTTAGATCTAGAGAAATATTGAAGCTAAAATCTCAAGTTTCCAGAAGCGTTTTTAAAATCCAGCATTTGTTTTCATTTAATTTTACGCGCGTAAGAAATATTGAGGTGAATTATGGCTGTAGAACTTTATAAGCACGATTGATTGGTCACTAGTTGATGAAATCAGGAATGTTTGATTTCCTGAGATTATAAGTAAAGTTTTTACCGTGTATTATTTGAATAGTAATACATATCCTAAATTATACATATCCTACATTATCCTACATTGTTATCTAATAACCAAACTAATGTGGCCTTAGCTTAGGAAAGTTTAGTTAATAATTTTAGACAGTTATACTGTTGAAGTAGCGTGTAAGTTTAAAGCGCAATATGTTAAGCATGAAATAGTTTTTACAAAGTATTACTTAATATGTATATATATGTTTGCTTTGCTTTCAGATATCGGATTAGCTTTTCAGCGATCAAAAGCAGCTGAAGGATGGATCAGTTTATGGCGGGGTTGGAGTCCTTCATTAATGCGTGACATGCCATTTTCTGGTTTGTGGTCTTGTGTTTAATTAAAGTTCATATTCTCTGTATTATTCGAGAATTAAGTAATAACGGGAGTATTTTACATAATAAAGCAAATTGCAGCTGTGTATTGGACAGGATACGAATACTTGAAGACGAATGCCTTACAGAAATTAAATCAACAGGAAACTAGTTTCCTGATCAGTTTTGTGTGTGGCGCGATGGCTGGTTCATTGGCAGCATTTGTAACAACTCCATTTGACGTCGTGAAAACTCGTCGTCAAATAACTTTGGGAGAGGTTGTAACTTATCCATCTTTTTTCAGGTTTTACATATTTTTTTTTTAAATTTCGAACGAAACTTGGCCTGTACTTTTCGTCAGAGAGATTAGGACAATTAGGTTAATCAATATCTATAAGATGTACGTGTGAAAAGTGGAAATTGAACTACTGAAAATCCAATCTTGGATAAATTAAACGAGTTTGTTCGATAATTGGCATTCTTTGCTTTACATAACTTGTAATATTTTCGATATTCATAGGGTTACAAAAAAGGAAATCGTGGTAATTCCGGCGACTTCTTTTTTATAGTTGCAGTTATATAAAATATATTAAATCAATTGTATTCATTAAACTGATGTCAACATTTTAGGTACGAAATATAAAGGAGATGAATAGGTACAATAATGGGTATATGCAGATGATAGAAAATTATGATAAGATTACCAGAGAAAGGCGCAGCATGGAAATTCGATCAAAGCACTCTTTTGGTATTATGAAAGAACTTTATGAAAAAAATGGACTCAAAGCTTTATTTGCAGGTAATTTATAATCGTTTGCTTTTAGCATAAAATGCACAAATGAAATATTTCCAAAATGCATCAGGAAATATAAATTTTTATAAAGTTTCCTTACATGTTCTTTTTTCACTTCTCGCTTATTACAGGTGTAGTACCACGTGTAACAAAGGTTTCGCTTGCGTGTGCTCTGATGGTAGGCAGTTACGAGTATTGCAAACTATTCTTTAAGAAATTAAACAGTTTGCAATGATGCGAAGCGTTTACTTGCTTATACGCTAGTTTGTACAAACTAAGAATTTTACCTTTGTTCTGTATCAAACCCTGCAGTTTAATATTGATAGCAAATTCAAGCATTCGAACTCATTTTTCTTTGTTATTGTTTGGTGCTGCCTATGATTGATTGATTAACTGGTTACTTTGAAGCAGTATAAAATTGGATTTATTATGTAACTTCTTTTTACTTAAGATCTCTGTTTACTTTTTTCTCAGGTTTCTCATTCATATATATGTTTTGATTACTTTCCCTTTAATTGCAAAATAAGCAAAAGGGCAAGATCAAAACTTTTCAATATCACTTACTAATGAGCTAAAAAAGAGTAGCAATAAGCATCTGAAACAAATGGATTCGAAAAGTCATGGCACAAGAATTCGTTGTATTGCAGAAATTTTTATAGCAAGACTATCCGATCCTTTCATCTCGCAAATTTTGAAGACAGACTTAGACAAGATTTAAACTCAATTCCTGATCTGAAATCATGTGAAGTCATGAATAAATACTTAGATCATCAATGCACGCTATTTATGACTGTAAATGGTGCAGAAAGACTAGGAAGATATTTAAGTAAACTTGTAGTTTCTGATGGCATAACAGATAGAATTATTTTCTTTCAATAAGTCAGCAAAACAGAAAGAAATCTGTACTGAACATAGAGGCAACTATTAACATTTTTAAAGAAAAATCAATAAGATTTATATCATATAAACATGAAAAATAATTTGACAAAAATTAATCAGCTCATTTATTATCTCCTTAAAAATTTTACTGATTAATTCTACTCACAACAATAACTTATAGAAGTCTAGAAAAGCTAACTGTATACCAGAATTATAATGACAAAAAAATTGAAGACCTGATTCAAGGTATAACTGCTACTGAGGTGATTACTACTGAAGACATTTGAAGAAAAAAATCAATTCATCATAATTGATCGATAAATGTCGAGTTCACGGCATAGCTTTAATCCTTGCCGTTTGTTCTTCAAGCTCTTTTGCAATTTCGGGTGGAAGATCTGAGCCGATCTGGAAACAATGAATTTCATATAAATAATATTGGCAAATTACGCATTATTTGAAAAAGGCAAAAGTAACGAGCGAACCTGTTGCTCGAAGAAATGTTTGGTTTCTTCCATATCCTCTAACCAATATTTTTTTGGCAAAGACATCAATTCAGCCCAGTTAATAGTTGGAAGGCCACTGAGATTAATCGAACCTAAATATATCATTTCTTTTTTTTCTTGAGAGAAACAATTTTGCATAAATTTTCATAATGTTCACAAAGTGGCATTTTTCTTTTCTCATTTATCTATTTCAACTTATTACCTTCTTTAGGTATATAACCAATTGGTGACTCAAAGGCAATACTATCATCACCATCACATCGTCTTAGAACCCAATCCAAAACACGAATGTTTTCACCGAAACCGGGCCACAAAAATTTGCCATCAGCAGTTGTACGGAACCAATTGACGTGGAAGATTTTCGGCACCTTTAACAAATTTGAAGAGATATTTCTGTTAACAATGCTTTAATTCAGAACATTTCATTCATTGAACAATTAATAGTAAAGTATGATATGACAGATTATTATCACCATGACGACACATACTCATAGTGACTTGAAACAAATATCAACCTAAAAAAAAATAAAATGCTTTAATAAACCTTATGTGGTGGTTGTCCAAGTTTCATCCAGTGACGCATGTATCGTCCAAAATTGTAACCCATGAATGGTCGCATAGCCATTGGATCATGCATAATTTGTTTGCCTAAATCAATGATGATAATTCAAACTTAATTAATAACAAAAAAAACTGATAGCAATATATTTGAAATATTTTTCAACTATCATAGATTGCATTCCAATCATTTCCATACATGAAAGTTGCAAATAGATAGTTCAGGAATTAATTAAATTCATTAATTTAAAATATCGATTGCTTACCGGAGAATTCAGCAGCTGCAGTTGCTTCTGATTTTACACATGCGCCCACAAAGACACCATGAATCCAGTTACGTGTCTCAAATACAAGTGGTACACCTTCAGGTCTTAAAGAAAAGCTTCTCTTATATTTGACGAATTATAGAATGTTTACCGAAACTGATAGATAATATTTACCAAATTAAATAACCTTCTCTCTTTCTTTCCGATTATTTTTATCCACCTTAATTATCTTAATTCTTCTTCCCTCTCTTTCTTCTTATCTTATTTCTCTCTCCCTCTCTCTCTCTCCCTCTCTTGCTCAACGAAAACACTGAAAATATTTCGATTGCTTGCTAACATGAAAGATTTTATCACTCGAAATTATTAACTAATATGAAAGAATATGAATTTTTTTGTCATTTGAATTAGCCTCCATAACAAACCTTCGGCCTCCAAAAATGATTGCATCAATTGGTACACCTTCAGGTTTTTCCCAATCCGGATGGATGATAGGGCATTGACTTGCAGGTGCAGTAAATCGTGAATTTGGATGAGATGATTTGGTCGAATCTCCAAGATGCCACGGTTTTCCAAGCCAATCAATCATATCAACATTCTAAACATTTACACTCCCATTAGAATGCAAATGAAACGAAAAGAAAAACAAATTAGCTCTAAACATGAACAATAAAAAAAAGTCAAAAAGTCATTGTAAAAAATAAATTATTTTTACTTAAGTTAATTTAAGTAAAATTTACCGGATTTTTTAGTTCCTTTTCAAGTCCCTCCCAGAAGTATTCACCATCAGCTGTTTCGGCAACATTTGTGAAGATCGAATTTTCCTGGAAACTTGCCATTGCCATAGGATTTGTTTTATTTGATGTTCCAGGGGCTACACCGAAGAAACCAGCTTCCGGATTTATAGCATATAAACGACCATCAGCGCCAAATTTCATCCAAGCAATATCATCACCTGTCAAGAAAAAAATTCACAATAATCATCTACATATTTCCTTTCAGATTTTATGATGCATACATATACATGCTTACCCACAACGCGTACTTTCCATCCAGGAATAGCTGGTTCAAGCATTGCTAAATTTGTTTTACCGCAAGCAGATGGAAATGCTGCGCAAATAAAGCGTTCTTTTCCTTGCGGACTGGTGATACCCATAATCTATAATAATTGTTTTTCTTTCCTCTTAAAAAAAAATCTAATTTTCATTGAAATTAAATTGCGAGAAAATTAATTGACAAATTGTAGTTTGATTTGATTAGAAATGCTGAAAAGTAACCAACAATGGTAAAAAGAAAAAGGAATCGATAAAATTCGTTAATTTAAACTATTTAATTCAAAAACACATACAGAAATGTTAATATACCAACCAGCATATGTTCAGCCATCCAACCTTCATCATAACCGATATTCATAGCAATTCGAAGAGCAAAACATTTTTTTCCCAAAAGTGAATTACCACCATATCCGGAACCAAATGACCAAATTTCACGTTGCGCTGGACGATGAGCAATGATTGTTTTTTCCGGATTACATGGCCAATTGTTTATAACTTTAGCTGAAATTTGATCGGATGAATCAATCAATACTAATAATTTCATATTTAAGTGAAAAACATAATAAATAATAAGCTTAGTAAAAAAAAATAAACTTACTGAGAACAGGACGTGGCTGTCCGATTGAATGAATGCAACGCACAAATTCTCCTCCGGATTTCTGTAATTCATTCAAGACACGTTCGCCCATTCGAGTCATAATTTTCATACATAGTACAACATATCTGAAAATGAAAAAATTTTGAAATGAAATCATTTTCAGTTGTTTTAGTACATTTTAGTGAAAACTAAATATAAAAATTCCTACATTGAATCGGTAAGTTCGATTCCAATTTTAGAAAGTGGACCACCAACTGGACCCATTGAAAATGGTATAACATACATCGTACGACCTGAAAAATATATTAACATTTTATCGTAATATTCATTATAAGATTGCTATGAAGAGATATATAAAAATAGATGAAAATAAAAAATTAATCAAACATTTTTCTTACCAGTCATGCAACCTGGAAAGCGATCATCAAGCTCATTGCCAAATTGTTCTGGTGACATCCATTGACCCATGATTGATTTTACTCCTTCTGCTGTATGACAAACCGAATCGTATTTTTCAGGAGTAATCATCCATGTTTTCGATTCAACACGAGCTACATCACGTGGATCCGTACGGCATAGGTAATTATTTTTGTATGCTTTTAATGGTGTTAAAACACCCATTTCTAAGCATTCTCCAATCAATTGTTTGTACTCTGTTTCCGAACCATCACAAATATAAATCGCACTGGGTGTTACCAAATCAGCTTTTTCAGCAACAAACAATTGAACTTTTTGTGGTAAATTTTGAAAGTGACCTTTGATAATTGGTATTTTATTAAGTTGATGAGTGACCACTTCATTAATTTTCTGGAAAATAAAAACTAGCAAAATTTCTTCAGTTAAAACAAAAAAAAAAAAACTATAAAATAATTAATGTCTTTCTTTTATACTTCAAATTTTAAAATGAAAATAGAAAATTGTAAAATGAATAGAAATAATTTCGATAAGTGTAAATAAATTTAAGAGAAAAGAAAAACCATTTTTGATGGATCTTTCAGTTCGGTAAGTGAACGAGATGGCATATTTCCTTCCTGTAAAATTTCATTTCTATAAGAAAGATACATGAGAAATAAAATTTTAAACGATTTAAAAAAAGAAGGGGATCTGTCAAAAAAGATAATTTTAAATAATTTTAATCTCTTCCCCTCTCTCTCTCCCTCTCCCTCTCTCTCTCTCTCTGTCTTTCTTTCTCCTTTGGAAAGAATAAAAAAAGAGTATATAACAGAAAATGATTATCATAAATTTATCATTTATCCATTATCTTTTTTGATCTGGATCTTCTATCCATTATCTTTTTTGATCTGGATCTTCTTTCTTTTGTCAATAAAACAAAATGTTTTAGAGAAAGTTTCTTCATCTATCTATTAATTTTAATTCCT